GGTTGTATAGGGATCTGAGAAGTGGGGGAAGGGAAGGGCAGCTCTGGGGCTGGAGAGGTTCAGAGTGGGGGCTGGGGTGAGACGTGCTGAGGCGCCAGGACTCAGCAACAGGCCTAGGTGCTGCCGAGAGAGACTGGCTACCTGCTGCAGTTTTGAATTCTTAAATAAGCACCTCGGGTCCCTTATGCCAGAGATAAGGAAAATTACTCCTTTTATCAAGTAGGGACTATCTTAAGTCCCTGAGGGAATGCTGCTCTTGTCTAAATGCTGGACCCTGGAAAAGGAATTTCTTGTGACCTAACACAGTCAGTCCTCCTTCAGTCTCCATAGGAGCCTGGATTTTACACATGGTCTGCCAGGCCCAGGTATCATTTAGGCTTCCCTTTGGACTCGCCCTTTCCTGCCAATATCTGCTCTGGTCTCTCAAGCCTGCTGTAGGGATGCCTCAGGGGAGTTTCTTCACCCAAACTGTGGGTAAAGGAGCGGGTCTTCAGAATATCTACCACAGACAATAAATTGGCCCCGAAGCTCCTGGGAGCCTCCCTAGGCTCTGGACCATCAAACTTGGAGAAGATGCTGCTGAGAGAAAGGGAGCTTTTCTCCTAGGTCCTGGGGGAGAAGTTCTCTGGGATTCCTTTTCAGCTAGTTTGTGAGGGAAGCTAAGTCAATAGCCTCTTCAGGAGACCCACAGTCTAAGAGCCCAGTGGACTTTGCCTTGTTCCTGGAATTGGGGTCAGAGCCAAAGCTGGACATTAACTAAGTTAACCAGTTGTAGTGAAAAGCAAACACTGAAGAAAAAAAAAAAAAAAGAAAAAAAAAGACCCAGTATCACTTCCTCACCCCCATACCCCTAGTTTGTCTTCAAGGTTCTAAAAGAGTTTCAGGTTTAAGCAGAGGGCAAGAGGTGTGCACAACTATGTCTGTTCCAGTGTCTCCTACGAGGTCTTCTGACATCATTTCCCCCTTTGACAGGTTTCTTCTTTGGCTGTCACCAGGTCCTCAGCCAATTCCTCCTTCCACCAAGAGATTGCTGGCAATTTCCAGTTTCTCAAGATCCATTGTTTCGACAGGTGCTGGTGGCCATACCTTTAATTCCAGCACTCGGGTGGTAGAGGCAGGTGGATCTCCATGACAGCTAGGATCTCTACACAGTAAAAGCCTGTCTCAGAAAAACTAAAAAAAAAAAAAAGTCTTTGTGTGTGTATGTGTGTGTGGTGACTGGAGAGTTGGCTCACCAGTTAAGAGCACTTGTTATCAGAGGAATCGAGTTGAGTTCCCAGCACCCATTTCAGTCCCTTCTCAACAATCTGTAGATCCAACTCTCTCCTCTGGCTTCCACAGGAACTGGCAAGTGAGTATGCCTTCTCATATATAGATATAATTACTAATCAATTTTAAAACTTAAGAAGAAAAACAACTTTCTGCCATGAGAGTTGTACCACTACCACATAGTGTGTGTGGTCAAAGGATAACTAGATGCCTTTACTTACTGAGCCATCTTTAGCCCAGCTGGCTTTCTCCACCCCCAGAGAGAAAAGGGAATATTATTAATTAATCATGACACTTGAGTGATGGCCAAGAGTTTTAACAGACTTCCATACTAAAATAAAAGTGGCTGAAGTGATGGAGTCTTTGAATTATTTTGTTTGTCTTTTGTTTTCCAAGACAGGTTTTCTCTGTGTAACAGCACTGCATGTCCTGGAACTCACTCTGTAGACCAGGCTGGTTTCAAACTCACAGAGATCTGTCTGCCTCTGTCTCACAAGTGCTAAAACTTTGTTTTTTAAAAAATAAATAAATAAATAAATATACTGGCAGGGCAGGACATAATGCCTCACATCTATAATCCAACATTCTGGAGGCAAAGGCAGATGAATCTTTCTGAATTCTAGGCTAGCCTGGTCTACAAAAGGAGAGTTTCAGGTCATCCAGGGCTACACATTGGGCTTCTGTCTTAAAAAAATACATACAATTAGACCCATTTATAATTTTTTTTTTTTTTTTGTTTTTTCGAGACAGGATTTCTCTGTGGTTTTGGAGCCTGTCCTGGAACTAGCTCTTGTAGACCAGGCTGGTCTCGAACTCACAGAGATCCGCCTGCCTCTGCCTCCCAAGTGCTGGGATTAAAGGCATGCGCCACCACCGCCCAGCCCCATTTATAATTTTTAAAAATTATTCTTATTTTATGTGCATTGATGTTTGGCCTGCATGTATGTCTGTGTGAGGGTGTCAGATCTTAGAGTTACAGACAGCTGTGAGATGCTGTGTGGGTGTCTGGAGCTGAACCCAGGTCCTCTGAAAGAGCAGTCAGTGCTCTTAAGCACTGAACCATCTCTCCAGCCCCTATCTATCTATCTATCTATCTATCTATCTATCTATCTATCTATCCACACATATATATATACATATATATTTTAATTTAAGATTTAAGCTGGGCGTGGTGGCACATGCCTTTAATCCTAGCACCTGGGAGGCAAAGGCAAGCAGATCTCTGTAAGTTCAAGGCCAGCCTGATCTACAGAGCAAGTTCCAGGGTGGCTAAGACTACACTGAGAAACCCTGTCTCAAAAAACCAAACCAAACCAAAAAACAAACAAACAATAAAACCAACCCAAAACATTCATTCATTCATTCATTCATTGTGTGTGTGTGTTTTGTGTGAATGTATGCCGTGTATGTTCGGGTGCCTGAGGCTAGAAGAGGGCATAGGGTCTCCTGGGAGATCCTGGATCTTCAAGAGTTACAGGCAACTGTTAGCCTCCCCTGTGGATTCTGGGTGTAGGGCCATATTATACAGGCCCATATTCCTACATTGTATGGCAGCCAGACTTTCAGGCCACAGTTTGCACCTGCCACACAGAAGGTGCTCACCTAGCCTTTGAGACAAACTGATGCCATCCTAAACAAAGGGTCAGGATATGCTAATATCGCTCTGCTCCTTCTTTATAATTGGGGAGAGGCTGCCTGGGAAAGAGTTGCTAATTCTGTCTAAGTGACAGAGCAGACATAGATGTGGGTGTGACCTAAAGCACCGGCGACCTAGGAAACAGAACGCTAATGCACTTCCCCCTCAGTTTACGGTTTGGTATAAAAGCTGTTTGGAGAATAAACACGGGTGATTTTCAGGATGTGAACTCAGGATTTCATGAGGGATCCCTGAAAACTTCTTCCTGATAAAGTCGTGTGAGTTGTGTCTTTATTCCCACGTCTCCCTTCTGGTCAGAGATATAATTTATGGTACGGGACACTGGGAAGGATATTCAGGTCCTCTGGAAGAGAAGAAAGCACTCCTCAGCTCCAAGCTCTCTCCAGCTCTTCCGGGTAATATTTAACTAAGCAGGTTTAAGCAACTTTGAGAACTCCTTGGTAAAATGTTAGGCTCTGAGGTGTTTGGCGGTTTGTGTGTGTGTGTTTTATTTTGTATAAGTTAGAGACAGTATTTAACTCTGTAGCCTAAGCAGGGATTCCTCCTGCCTTAGCCTCTCAAGTGCAGGGATAAACCACCATTCCAACAGCATTTGAAAACTTGAGGCTTCTTTCTCTTGGAGAAGTTTTTTTTTTTTTTTTTTTTTTTTTTTTGTCTGCCAATTCTCTACCTCTTTGGCTATCCCAGTATGTCTATACATTTATTTTAATGTATGAATTGACAAGAATTTGGCACTTTGAAAAAAAAAACAAAACAAAACAGACAAATATTTATTGGCATTGCATTTGCATTAATTTGGGAAGGAACAATTTTCTTTTAATCAAACTGTAACTCTAGTTCCAGGAATTGAACTCCTTGTTCTTGCCTCTGCAGGCCTCGAGCATGCAAGTTGTGCACAGACAAACAGGCAGCCAAGGCACTCATACACATAAATTTAAAAGTAACAAAAGCAAAAAAAAAAAAATAAAATCTTGAAAAGGTAATGAGGCACACAGTCTGTAGCCCTTTAAATATCCTGGTACTCCACAGCGCATCATCAACTTACAGAACTGCCAGGCATCCCTTCAGCACTAAAATGACAACCAGATGGGGTTTCTGTCAGGCACAAACCTATAGAGATGAAGAGAATTAAAAGTAACAAAAGGATCACGTTTTTTGGTTGGTTGGTTGGTTGGTTGGTTGGTTGGTTGGTTGGTTGGTTGGTTGTTTTTTTCAAGCCAGAAAGTAGTTCATAGTGGAGCTTAGTCCGGAAACCCTGACAAAAGTTCAGTTTAGAGCTGGGGAGAGCCAGAGGCCAGGGGAGGTGGGGAGGAATTGACTGTGATGGCAGTACTCTGTAGTCCTGGTGTTCTGCCTGCGTGTACGGCTGTGCACCATGTGCACACAGTGTCCAAGGAGGCCAGAGAAGGGCGTTGGGCCCCCTAGGACTGGGTTAACAGCTGCATGGGTGTTGGGAATGACAGCTCTTGGCCACCGATCTATCTTTCCAGCCTCGGTGCCCTGGCAGACCTGGTAGAATCTTTTTTTTCTCCCCTCGAGACAGGGCTTCTTTGTGTGACTTTGGCTGTTCTGGAACTCCCTCTGTAGACCAGGCTGGCCTCAAACTCACAGAGACCCACCTGCCTGTTTCCAGTGTGTAGGAATTAAAGGCGTGCATTGCCTGGCTTCCGACCTAATAGATCTTAAAATCCCTTACAACACTGATTTTGTAACGCTAATCTCTAAGGAAAATGTTCACCAATGCCCAGATATTACTTCACAGTGTAAAGTTGTTGCTGATATTGGGAGCATAGTCCAACGTGCATATTACGGGCACCTTTCAACACCCTAAGTTTAAGGTAGGCATAGTAGACCATGCCTGCCGGCACTTGGTAGACAGAGATGGAGAATCAAGCATTCAAGGTTAGTCTTGGTTACTTAGTGAGTTCTAGGTTGATCTGGGCTACATGAGACCTTGTCTCAAATAAAATAAAATTAAAATAAATACACAAACAACAAACAAAAACCCTAAACTTAACATAGCTGACAGGGTTAGCGTCATTTTTAACTGCTACCAACTCCTGTTTAATCACAGATGATCTTTAGATGGTGGAAGATTTCTCTGAGAAGCGAGTTTCGGGCAGCAAAACCTGGAGAGATAAAGGAAACCCATGAAGACTTCCTAGACAACTCTAATCTTCAAGGTGAGGCAATCACACCCCAGCATATGCGGCAGCGATGGATCACAGGCTTCATACTTATGTAATTATGTTCTTAGAAATAATAGGCTGGGGGGCTGGAGAGATGGCTCAGTGGTTAAGAGCGTTGCCTGCTCTTCCAAAGGTCCTGAGTTCAATTCCCGGCAACCACATGATGGCTCACAACCATCTGTAATGAGGTCTGGTGCCCTCTTCTGGCCTGCAGATATACACACAGTACACATATTGTACACATAATAAATAAATATTAAAAAAAAAAGAAAAAAAGAAAGAAATAATAGGCTGTGTTGTGCTGGTGCAAGCCTTTGATCCCAGCACTTTGGAGGCAGAGGCAGGTGGATGTCTGAATTTGAGGCTTGCTAACCTGGTCTACAGAGAGAGTTCCAGGACAGAGAAAACTATTACACAGAGAAACCCTGTCTTGAAAAACCAAACCAAATCAAAACAAAACAAAACCAAAAAAAAGAAAGAAAGAAAGGAAGGAAGAAAGAAAGAAAGAAAGAAAGAAAGAAAGAAAGAAAGAAAGAAAGAAAGAAAGAAAGGCGATGGCATAGTGGTTAAGCCTATACTGTGCTTTTGCAGAGAACAGGAATTCAATTACCAGCGCCTCTGGGAGGAGGGGTTTATAACTCCAGCTCCTGGCATCTAGTGACCTCTTCTGGCGTCTGTGAGCAACTGCACAACCCACACCCACATAAAAAAAAAAAAAAGGTTTGTTTGTTTGCTTGATTTTTGTTTTTTTCTAGATAGGGTTTCTTGTAGTCTTGGTTGTCCTGGTCCTGGAACTCACTCTGTTGTAGACCAGGCTGGCCTTTAACTCACAGAGATCCAACAACTTCTGTCTTCCAAGTACTGGGATCAAAAGCTTGTATCATCATGGCCCAGCTAAAACAAGTCTTTCAAAATCTCTTTAGAATCAAAAAACTAAATTTGAGATAGTGTCTTCTGCATCTTCGCATTGTGTCATTTTCTGGGGAGATGTGAACAGATGTCTGCTTGCCCCAGATAGGATAACAATAACAGACGTGATTCCACCCAAGTACGGCGAGAACACTGGGGTTAGTCACAGGCATCTGGGTGACTCAAAGGCAGCTGTGTCACTGAAAAGACCAGCCCTGAGTGGCTGATGACTCAGATGGCTGCGTCCGCACACACGTCGCAGGCAACCTGGTAGTCACTGCTGTTCATCTCTACCCTCCGGTCTTGGAGAACCATGCAGCAGGAGAGAAAGAGGCCACACATCGCAGGTCTGGGGGAGGGAGGATCATTCGGCCAGCTGGAGCCTCCGTGCTGCCACTAGCCAGCTGTTGTAACTACAGTGACAGCTCAGCCCCTTTGTGAGTCACTTTCCTTGTTCGGACTGGAGATAATCACGGCCACTTTATTCAGTCATCCTGAGCCTTCTGTGACGTTATATGTAATCAGCTCTTAATTATCGTTTGCTGTATTGTTAAGCAGACAGCGTTCCACTGGACTTACTTTTCCGTCTCCTCTTGGTCATCTCCCTAAGGCCCCCGACATGATTTTCTCATGCAGAGATCCCGGCAGAGGTTCTGAGCATGTCACTCTTGCTGCCTGGACCTCTCAGCGGTACTTAGCAAACAGGTGGTATTTCCTGTCATTTGACCTCAGTCTTAGTTTTTGTCCCTCACTGGCTTCTTAGGCTTCAAATCAAGACGACTAGAAGTTCAAATCTGTGCCTTGCTCCTGTCTGTTTATGGTTATGCCCTGGGGATCTGGTTCAGACTCTAACTTTCAATGCCATCTATAGGGCTCAGTAGTGAGGAGCATCTCCTATTCTTGCAGGGGACCCAATTCCTGCTTCTGGCACCGTGGGCAGACACATATGTATAGACACACGCGCGCACACACACACACACACACACAAACCTCCTACTGGGTTGCCTCATCCAGCCTTGATGTGATGGTATATCCCCCCCCCCCCGCCCCCAAGACAGCGTTTCTCTGTAGCTTTGGCGCTACACACACACACACACACACAACTATAATTTAAAAAATCTTCTAATCTCACCTTCCATGAGATCGTAGGTGGGAGGGGGTAACCTCAAGCCACAAATTCTGATGTTACTCTTTATGTCTCTTCCTATCAGTGTTGGGCCCTTCCCAATCACAATAATCCGGGCAGTGGCAGGCAGGTTCCAAGAAAACCAGTGCCCTTAACCTCTGTCTGAGCCATCTCTCCAGCTCCTTCTAGCTCTTTTAAGCCCTTAGATGACACAGTGACACAGTCCCAATCACAACCTCAACCTCAGGAGACCCTGTTTCAAAAATGAACACAAAAGGCCTATTTTTTCTGGGATGTCTCCACTGGCTCGCCCATTATTCAGTCTGCTGACACTGCCTTCTTAGCGAATGTTTCCTTGAACCACTAGACAGAAAATCACAGCCTTTCTCCAGAATGTTGTGTCTCCCATATACTCATTGTCAAATGAGACACCATGCAGCATTCAGCTGTTTGTTTCTTCTCTATTTTATTGTGGTAGGAACTTGGCTTGTTGATGGGTCCTTGGTGCCACTTAGAACAATGACTGGTACACAGCTCGGTAAATAAATTATCATATGAATTATTTAAGAAAGTTCTTCCTTCCTTCCTTCCTTCCTTCCTTCCTTTCTTCTTCTTCTTCTTTTTTTTTTTTTTTTTTTTGGCAGGGTCTCTGTATGTAGTCTTGGCTGTCCTAAAACTAGCTATGTAGATCAGGTTGGTTTTGAACTCATAGAGATCTACCTGCTGCTGGCTCCTAAGCGTTTGGATTAAAGATGTTCAAGAACATGCTTGATCTTATTTATATGTGTGTGTCTGCATATGGGTTTGTGTAAGTACAAGTAAAAGCTCCACCAAAGACCAGACTAGGCCTTCTGATCCCCAGTGCTAGGGTGAAATATTGTGGAATAAATTAAGAGACCACTGGTCTCCACCAATCAACTAGTAATATCTTGAGATAGCTTTTGAGGTATGTAGCAGAATTTCCTTCCCTCTTTACCACCTTTCTGCTCCCCACTTGCCCGATGTTCCCACCAGTGTATTTGATCACCAGTTGTGGTGGCGCACCCTGGTAGGATTTGCTGAAGGATGCAGAGGCAGGAGGCAGGAGGATCATGAGTTCGAGGTCAGCCTGGACTACGCATTTAAAAAAAAGAAAATGCCTAGATCTATGACTCCCTATGTCCTGTTACTCTAAAAGCTTAATGAAAATGTTATGTTAGGAGCTGGAGAGATGGCTCAGAGGTTAAGAGCACTGGCTGCTTTTCCAGAGGTCCTGAGTTCAATTCCCAGCAACCACATGGTGGCTCACAAATATATATAATGACATCTGGTGCCATCTTTAGGTATGCAGGTGTACATACAGGCAGAACACTTTATTATTTACATAATAAATACATCTTTTTGTTCTTTGTTTGTTTGTTTTTTGAGACAGTGTTTGCCTGTGTAGCTTTGGAATCTATCATGGAACTTGCTCTGTAGAACAGGCTGGCCTCAAACTCACAGAAATCTGCCTGCCTCTGCCTCCTGATTGCTGGAATTAAAGGTGTGTGCCACCACCGCCTGGCTAATAAATCTTAAAAAAAGATAGAAAGAAAGAAAGGAAAGAAAGAGGAAGAAAAAGGGAAGAAAAGAAAAAGAAAATGTTATGTTAGAACACGGAATTTGGAGCATCCAAATCTGTCTTCCTTCAATGTGTTCACTCCTTTTTGGCTCCAGAATAAACTCTGACCTCCTTTGAGGTTGGAGTTGTGGTTTCACAAGAACAGGGTTACTGAAAGGAGCCTCAGTGGCTCTGTCCCTGTACCTGAGAAGAACTGAGCAAGACGTGTGTTGCTGGAGAATCACGGTTCCTCTTGGCAGGCCTAGTTCTCTCTCTCTCTCTCTCTCTCTCTCTCTCTCTCTCTCTCTCTCTCTCTCTCTTTTTAAATATTTATTTATTATGTATACAATATTCTGCCTACACATATCCCTGCAGGCCAGAAGAGGGCACCAGACCTCATTACAGATAGTTGTGAGCCACCGTGTGGTTACTGGGAATTGAATTCAGGACCTTTGGAAGAGCAAGCAATGCTCTTAACCGCTGAGCCATCTCTCCACCCAGGCAGACCTAGTCTTATTGATGAAAGAATTTTAAAAGATGGACTCTGAAGGAAACTCAAGGACCATTTTATTAGGGTTTGGGAGGAAAATCACAGGGCAGAAGAGCTGTATATCCTGGCAATGGACAGGAGGAAGGAGATGGAGAAACCAGGGTTTGAGTTAGGGTTCAATAGAGCAGGTAGCTGGGGCTGAGGTGAGGTCTCTGCTGTTAAGAGCACCGGCTTCTCTTTCAGAGAACTTGGTTTTGATTCCCAGCACCTTGAGGCTGTTCATAACCCAGTGTAACTCCAGTTCCAGAGCACCGAATGCCCTCTTCTGGTCTCTGTGGGCACTGCCCGCACCTGGTGCAGAGACATACATAAAAAATAAAAACGAAAGAGAGCATGCGTGGCGGCACACACCTTTAATTCCAGAGAGGCAGAGACAGGCAGATCTTTGTAGCATGGGCTACAAATCGAGTTCCCAAACAGCCAGAGGTTCAGAGAGAAATCCTGTCTCCAGAAACAGAGGTGGGGGGCTGCTAACACCTGTAAAACTGAAGGTGGGAATGAGAAGGACCATTGTCACGGCAAACATACTTAGTATCCGAAGAAGAGAAAGAAAAAAAAAAAAGAAAAAAAGTATGCTTCTCAGTTAGAACTCAGAAATAAGGGAGTGGACGATAGTATGTAATGTTCTAATCATTGGGATGGGACAGATTAGGACTAAGATTCTATCCTTATGACCAGGAGGAAATGGCTTTTCCTTCATGGGCCTCAACATATTTCTGAGATATCTCATGGTAAGTGTTAGGTGGGGTAAAAAATAGTCATGAGGGAGGGGTCCAGTAATCTGGCCTCCATCCCTCTTGGTGCTTGTTTAGATGTCTAAATTTGGGCAT